GGGGGGGGTGGGTTGCAGTGGCCGGGCACCTGATGCAGCAGAACCTGGTCCTTCCTGCTGTCATCCCCAGGCGGTCCAGAACGTGGGCAACATGGACATGCAGGCTTCCAGGGCCAAGGAGGCTTGGATGGAGCCGCTGCAGCCCACCGTGCGCCAGGGCGTGGCCCAGCTTAAGGACTTCATCACCAAGCTGGTGGACATCGAGGAGAAAGAGGGTGAGCCCGTGTGGCCCCGCCCGCAACCTCCTGCTGCCATTTGCTCCGCCCTCGTCCGGCGGCCCCGCCCGCCTCTGTCCCTGCCTCTCACAGCGCCACCCACAGCCTGCTCGGCCCCGCCCTCGCCCCGGGGCTCACATTTTGCCCTTCCTCCCGGCCCGGCAGAGCTGGACCTGCAGAGGGCGCTGGGCTTGCAGGCACCGCTGGTGAAGGAGGGACCACTGTTCATCCACAGGACCAAGGGCAAGGGCCCCCTCACATCCTCCTCCTTCAAAAAGCTCCACTTCTCCCTCACCACCGAGGCCCTCAGCTTTGCCAAGACGCCCAGTTCCAAGGTGGGTAAGGAAGGAGGCGGGCAAATGGGGCTCCGAAGGCTTAGAACACCGTGGAGGCACCTGTCCCTTCCTCGGAGCCCATCTCAAGGTCCGCTGGGGTCAGAAGGACAGCCAGGCAGGATCAGGCTTCTGGTGTCAGCCAGTACCTCACTTAAGACCAATGAAGAAGCTCCCCTGCCCAGGGGGCATGGGCAGGCAGCAGCTGCAGTGTCCAGCCCTGGCTTCTTGGTCAGGTGCATGGTGGAGTGGGGGGCCGAGGGGTGCTTCTGGGAGATCAGGGAAGCAGAGAGGGGCTGAGAGGAGTCCTGGGTTCCAGCCCTGTGTACCTAGGGGAAGTGTCTCAATCTCTCTGAGCGTTGGTGTCTTGGCCTGTAAATTGGGGATAATGGTACCACTCACCAGATTCTTGTGGATTAGATGAGATGGTCTCTCTAAGGGTCCAGAGGCAGGGCCTGTCCCAGAGCAGGATCTAGGGCAATGGTATCACTAAGGACACTGCATCGCCTGCGCTGGCCTCCCGGGAGCGCTCTTCTCCCAAGCAGGGCTGAGCACATACTTCTGGATGGACCTGTTGACCCGAGCTGGGCCAACCCGACCCCCAGTCAGCCAGGCTCTGGGGACGGTCTGCCAGGGGTGCCCAACCCAGCCCTGAGCTGGGGTGGGGGCTGCGGGGATGAGGGAGCTCCCTGGGGTGGCCCGTCAGCTCAGGCCTCCCAGTTTCCAACTTCGTTGGCTCTGGACAGCTGCCCGGCCCTTGGGTCCCCTTGGCATTTTCTGCAGCCTGAGCAGAGCCTGGCTACGTGGCAGGGTCCTTCCTCACCTCACTCTGGGCTCCTCTCCATTCCTTGGCACTGAGCTCTGCCCTTCTGTGGGCACATCCCCTGTATCCCCCTGTGCAGTGCCGTCCTCCACTTCCCCCTGCTGCCTCCCTTCCAGCAAGCACAGCCTGGCCCGGGCAGCACATCCTCTCGGCTGTCCTTTCTGTCCTCTGGGAGGCCCTGCCGCAGGACGGCTCAGACACGTGTCCCCTCCGGGTTTCCCCACTCCTCCCAAGAGATGGCACTGACTGCTCTGCTTGGCACTGAGGCCGGCGGGGGCAGTGGGTTTGGATGCCAGGCTGGGGAGTGTGGGTGTTATCCTCAGGGCTATGGGGACTGGTCATTTGGATGATGGGGGCCCTGGTGAGTTCTGATGGGGGAGCATTCAGGAGGCAAGGAGAGCAGATTCTGGGGGCTGGCAGCATAGATTCAGCTTGAGCAGGTTGGGGGCCCCTCGGGGATGTGGCTATTTTACATCAGATTCATGATGGTGGGAGTGGGGAAGGGGCAGGAGATGGGATGTGACTTTTAGAGCCTGGGAAAATAAAGGTGAGGTGGGAAGTTAACTGCAAAGGTACAGGGCCTGGTCCACGGCAGGTATGACTTTCCAGCCCTGAGGGATGCTGGGTGTCCGCTTTTCTGAAGCTCAGACCTCCCGGGACTGCTGGGTGCCCGTGAGAGGCTGGGCGCTTTGTCCCTATCTGCCTGCGCTCTGTCCTGGCTGAGGTCACTCACAGAGCAGGCTCCTGGGAGGGATAGGCACTTTGGGTCCCCTCCGCCAACTCTGGTGCTCAGAAGGGGACACTAAGGCCCAGAGACAGGAAGTAGGGTGGCCCCGGCTGGGACCCTGAGCCTGCCTTCCTCTGTCTGCCCCAGAAAAGCACCCTCATCAAGCTAGCGAATGTCCGGGCCGCAGAGAAGGTGGAGGAGAAGAGCTTCGGCAGCTCGCATGTCCTGCAGGTCATCTACACAGACGACGCTGGCAGGCCCCAGACTGCCTACCTGCAGTGCAAGGTGCGGGCCGCGGAGGGGCACCCCTGGGGAGGGGATGCTGTGGGAGCCCCTGCGCGGGCTGGAATGAGGAGCTCGTGAGTCTCTCACCCCCTTGTCGGCCACATCAGGCACAGCAGAGTGTGTGGGATCTGATGTGAGAGCAGTGAGTGAGTGCGTGTGTCTGTCCTGGGGTCGAGGTGCCTGGGAGGCCATGCCCGTGTCTCTCCGTGGGCCTGCCTAGGCACCCACGTGTGGGTCTGTGTGTGGTCCAGTGCACGGACGGTGTCTCCCTGTGATTCGGAGCTTCGTATCTTACACGTTGCAGGAAACTATATTTCCAAGTGTCTGAGTTGGTGCTTGTGCATTTCTGTGTATCAACACCCCACAGTCACATGTCTGTGCAAGTGTATGGCTCTGGGTGTATGCTCTCAAATCCCCTTCTCATCTGTTCTTGTCTTAACTCATTCATTCATTCATCTAAAAAATACTGACTGAGCACTTGCTAGCTGCAGGCACCACTCTGAGTGGTGGGGTACAGCGGCAGACGGTGCAGAGTCCTTGCCTCGTGGAGCTTAAAACCAGGGAAGAAGATGGACCGATAAATAAATATTTAAAATGTCAAATGGTGGTAGAGCCTGGAAGGGCACCAAAGGCAACTGAGAGAGAGGGAGGGGTGCTGGTTTGTAAAGGGTGGGCAGGGGGGCCTCTGACAGGGGGCATTTGAGCAGGGACATTGTGAGGGATGCAGCATCCAGGAGAAGAGCATGGAACAAGTAGGGAGGCTGATGTTGGAGGGGGCTTGGCTTGTTCCAGGGAGTGACTGTCCTGGGCAAGTGGTAGGAGGTCACAGACCGTCCCAAGGGGCCCCATGTTCTATGATCTCCCTGTTGGGTCAGAGTCCAGAGCCACAGGGAAAAAATAGTGACAGCAGGGCCACCAGGTATAGTTGGCAGGTTGTGGACTGCCCAAGGGCATGGCTGAGGGGACGAGTGGTGACTGAAATCCAGCCCACGCTCTGCTCACCGAGCCAGGTGCCAGGTGTGGGCTGTATCCATCCGGAGAAAGGGCAGCCTTTCCCAGTTCATCAAAGCCGCTGAGTGGGCTGGTGGGGGACATGTCATCCTGGGCAGCAAGGGAGCTCCAGGGAGGGAGGGCTTCCTGGAGGGGGTAAGCTCTAAGCAGCACCCCCACGTCCCCCGCAGTGTGTGAACGAGCTGAACCAGTGGCTGTCTGCGCTGCGGAAGGTGAGCATCAACAACCCGGGCCTGCTGGGCTCCTACCACCCCGGGGTCTTCCGCGGGGACAAGTGGAGCTGCTGCCACCAGAAGGACAGAACAGGTGAGAGTGGCTGGCCCCGGGGCCCGTGAACCCTGTGCACCTGTGGGAACTCTCGTGAGGCAAGCTAGTCCCTCCAGATGCTCTGGGCCCGGAGGGTTCCGTGACCCCGTGGTTTGGGAAATGCCGCGTGGTGTGTGTGTGCTGCACATGGAGATGTTGGCGGCCCTGAGGAGGCCTAAAAACGAGCTAGAATCCCATTTCTAACACTGTTTAACCCAGCTCTTCCCAAACTCACTTGATAGGGAACCTTTTTCTTGCCCAGTGGGTGAGCTTCCTGCAGACCCAATGTTCCAAGGAACACACCTTAGGAATTTCTTGCTAACCAGGGCTGAAGAGGGCCCCCAAGTTTGCACATTCCCAGGCTGACAGCCTGATACTGGAGCTGTGGGCAGGGGGACCCTGGGCCTTGGGCACTAGAGGGATGGCAGAGAAGAGCTTCTACTGGAACTTTCTGTGGTGATGGAAATGGTGTGTATCTGTACTGTCCAGTGCTGTGCATGTGCTGGCGTGAATACGTGGCTGCTGAGCACTTGAAATGTGGCTAGGCTAGGAACTTTATTTTAATTTTAGTTAATTTAAATTTAAATGGCCTTATGTGGCTAGTGTCTACCCTTTTGGACAGCACAGTTCTAGAAGTTTCAAGATCTTTGTCCCTTAGCCCCACCTGCTTTACAAAATTCTTGCTCCCCAGTCACAGAGGAGACTCAGCACTTGGAGCCCCCGGCCCCAAGGCCAGGCCAAGCCTCAACCCGGGGAGCCAGCGCAGTGGAGGCCCTCAGAAGCTGACCGCCCGCTCCAGCCCCAGCCTGGGGGTGAGATTGAGCAGTGGCAGCTCTTTACAAGGGCCGCTGGCTGGTTGGCCTGACCTGCAGCCTCTGGCTATAACCTTCGTGGTGATCACCCTCGTCGTTGGAGGAGGAGGGCTCCCCAGGGCACTACGAGGCAGGGCCTGGTAGCCCCATTTCATGGAGGAGGAAACTGAGGCTTAACGAGGGCAGATGCCTCTGCCAAGGAATAAAGCCAACAAGTGGCAGGGCCAGCTCATCCCAAGGCACAAACTCTCCTGGCTCCCTTCATCGTGATCTTACAGTTCCAGGCTGTTCGCTGCTTCCTTCCAGGCAGGCAACCTTCCAGAAGTTGTCCAGCTCCTGAGGTTCTATCCTGCGCAGCCCCCACGCCCTGCAGTCACGTATCCCATGGCTCAGGAGCTGAACCTGAGAGGGTCGAGCTGCTGTCCGCGGAAGCATGGGGGAGCCACAGGCAGGCCCTAGGCCTGACTTCCCAGGCTGTGCTCCCAGCCCAGCTCCTTACTGGGGGCCCCTGAGTCGAGCCCTCTCCCTCTCTAGGCCACAGTTTCCCCATCTGCACTACCAGGAAGTTGATCGTGAGCTCTCACAGTGCCTGCCTGCAACTCTGCCCTCTCTCTGCCCCCAGATCTGGGCTGTGATAAGACGCGGTCACGGGTGACCCTGCAGGAGTGGAATGACCCTCTGGACCACGACCTGGAGGCCCAGCTCATCTACCAGCACCTGCTGGGCATGGAGGCCGCACTGCGGTGAGGAGGCCTGTGCAGGGCGGCAAGTTCCTCGAGGGAGAGGCTGTGTAGCTCCAGGGCATGTGCCAGGCGGGGTCGGAGCTGGGATTCTGGCTCAGGGCTGCGCCGTGAGGGCTGGTCTCCTCGCTTCTAATCAGGCCCAGCACCTTCCTGCTTTTGGCAGCGGCACCTGGGGAGGGGCAGCTGGATCCCTGCGAAATGAGGCTGGGTCTTGTTCCGACAAAGGTCCCAAGGGCTCTGCAAGCCCAGGGTGAGGGCCATGGCTGCTTCCTGCCCCAGGCTGACCCAGCCTCCCCGTCTGCCCAGCCTTCCCGTGGTGCCCTTGGAGAGCAGAGATTACCCTCAGCCAGTTCCCTGAGTTCTTCAGCCATCTCGTTGAATTCACTGATTCTTGTCCTGGCACCTGCTTAGGAAAAACAGGATGCTTTTAAAAAGAACTTTAAAAACAGGATGCCTGGCCCTACCCCCTTGACTCAGAATCTCTGGGGGTGGGGCCCAGCCTGGGGATCTTTTAAAGAGATCCTGTGCTTCCTAAGAGCACTGAGTCCCTGAGCCTGCTCGAATGGGAGTTCCTCTCCCACACCCTGACTCCGGGGGCCATGGGGGTGCTGGGCGTCCTTGTTCCTCAGCAACTCTTCCAGGGTTTACCTCTTCCTCAGAACCCTTCAAAGCTCATGCTGTCCCCGCCGCAGCCCTGTGAGCTGCAGGCACCAGTGGCCTCCAGCTCACTCTGCAGCCACCTCCTTTCTGACAGCCTTGTCACCAGCTCCCTCTCCACACCTGCTCTGGCCCCTTGCTTGGTGACTTCATCCTCCACCTAGAGGACAAAGCCACTACCCTGTTTCCTTCGTTCCTGAAACTTGCTCTGCCACCCACCTGGACCCTCACTCGCTTGGCCAC